TCGCATAAAGTTAGGGGTTGCAGCGGACCTATAGCAACCAAAATTAAGTTCCCCCGGTAACTTTTAGTCTAGCCCCCAAATCCCCAATCTAATTGAAGTATGTTCATTAATTTCGGATGCAAAACATGCGGACACATGGATAGGACGTCGCTACGCCCACAGTGCAGTCCTGGAGGGGGAACAATGAGTGGCAAGCAAGTACGTAAGTGGCAGACGCCTGTTTCGCCTCTGTCTGTTATACACCTCTGCTTATTTCTTAACGCTTATTCCAAATAAATGTTTGCCTATTTCGTCTATTTTACTTATTTAAAAAATTGAAAGTAGGCTTATGAGATCACCATGCGTTCTATGTCTCATTGAATCCCCTCTTATAAAATTTTGAACGCCTCTGTGGTCTAATGGTAACAGTTTCTGGCAACAGATCCAGAGATCCCGGGTTCGATTCCCAGCACTACCAGAATTTTTTAGAAGTGGTGGGTCTGGACCGGGTTCCATTCATCCTCGTGAGGATAACTGAGGAACTATTTCAGGGAAATAGCGACTCCGGTCTAGAAAACCGAGATTAACGGCCGTGGGGATTCGTTCCGCTGACCACGCGACACCCTCTTTTCGCAAAAGTTGGCACTAACTTTGCTGACATGCGGCGGTCGCTCGGTCGGTATAGTTCGCTTGCGGACTACAGGCCAAGGCGTTTGAACCTATATTTATGAATTGTATGTGTTATCATGGCAGATGACCTCATTTCAACGCCGTACTTCATAAATTCCTCCATTCTATGTGTATATATTTGTACCCCCTTATCGTTGTTAGGCAACGGCTCGGTAGAAACGTATCGCGACAACGAATACATACGCAACACTAGAAGGATTGTTGAACGAGCAATTTTCTATGCGGTTCGTGTCTTATCAAAGGAAAGTAGGAGATTAGTTCTTCCAAAAACTTCTTGTTTAAATTTAAATATATAATTGTATGTATAAAGCTTTTGAAGTGGCCGAGGTATTCATATGATGTTACAAAATGTTATACTTTTTCTGAAATATTAAGTTTTATGAAGAATGCCATCTTCTGGGGTATGACGCCGTGTAGATATTGTGTGAACCGACATTTCGGAGGAAAGTACCACCAACTTCAGGGTAGAAAAATCCGCGACTGAGGTCTAATACAGTCTGCAGCCACCTGCTCACGCTGGTTCCTCGCTTGCGGATTTTTCTACCCTGAAGATGGAAGCAATAATTTCCTTCGAAACGTCTGTTCACACAAGATCTACACGGCGCCACATCCCAGAAGACAGCATTCTTCATAGTCACCGCCGTTAAAACCTCAAACCTTACATTAAATTTTATTGTGTCAGTGTCTCCTACGTCGTTGTAGGATCGTTTCAAAGAAAGAAGTGTGCCAATCGGAGAATTTGCAAAGATGTGAATAAGAATATTAGACTAAAATACAACAAACAGGTTTAGTTAAATATCTAAATATGTGATACTCCATTCTCCATTTCCACTTACCCACAAACCAGGCATAAAATTCAAAATTGAAGAATTACGAAATTCAGTAAGCATCTTTCATTAAATTGACGACAGTCGAAGACAGAGAGACTGTTGTCTAAATGTCCAGCTACTGGTAACATTAGTACCACCTGCAGCCAGCACTTGCAGCTCTCTATAGGCATACTGTACGTCCCAAAAGGTTGTTCGCCACTGCCGTGACCTCGCATCCAACAAAATATGCATTGATTCAGCTTCGCGAAGTGGTGCAATATCAGTGCTTTAGATTAACACGTGTGAAGAACCTAGTTCGTGTCCCGGCCTGGGACGGGCTATTGTAATATTTCAATTTAACCCAAAGCCCTCACTTAGGAGATGTACAGGTAAATATGAAGATAAAATTACGCGGTGGCGTAGTTGGTTGAGACACTATGCCACGCGCCGGAAGGTCGCTAGATCGAATCCCCATGAGGTCACTGGATTTTTTCAATTGACCTATTCCTTCCAGCCGCACTGTGGCCCGGGGGTAGACTTAGCCTCTTACAGAAATGAATACCAGGAATCTTGCCGGGAGGTAAATGGCGGCCGGCGCGTAAGGCTGACAACCTCACCGCTATCTGTGAGCCGATTGTCTAGAAAACATGGCAGCCTAGACGTCTCACAACCCTATGGGCTTTCACGTCCTGTCTCAGGGATCGCTTTACGCTTTTTTTTACCACTTTACCTTATTAGAGATACAGATTATCAGTGTGTGGATTAAATTAAACTGTATCAGAATGGTAATGGGCCTTCAGCCGGTCACGGTAGCCAGCGGTCTAAAACATGCACTGTCTTCGCTCGCTCGGAAGCCGGGATCGTGGGTTGGAATCCCACTCATGGCATGGATGTTTAGTTTGTGTGTGTGTACAGGTAGAGGCCTTGCGACGAGCTGATGAACCACCCAGGGAGACCTACCAAATGTGTAAGATCTAGAAAATCCGAAGTGAACGGAGAAGTTCAAGGAGGTAGGCCTAGGCCCACTGGGGCTGTAGTGCCAAGGAAAAAAAAAAGGGCCTTCAGGCTGTTTAAAATTGAAGCGATGGTCTGGTTAGATTTACAAGAATGATGTTGCACCACACACGAAAGTACCGTGTTAGCTTTTGTCTCCAGATCATAAGGGGCTGCCTGTGTAGTGCATTAAACTAAGCCATGACCACTTCATCTTTCTGCATTCCAAATTCACCATATCTGTGTTTATATTTTAGTCAAATTTGTCCCACATTACATATGGTTTAATCAGGGTTGCTGATAACTTTACAATGCCTGTCGCCAACAATGTAACACATCATTTCACGTTTGTAATAAGCCCTATACAATGACTGCTATCGTGAAAGGTATTTACTTACTTACTTACTTACTTGGGCAGCGCCATAGCTCAAGTGGTTAGTAGCTGGCTTCCCACCGCGGCGGCCCGGGTTCGATCCCGGGTCTGGTCAAGTGGGATTTGTGGTGGACAAAGTGGCGCTGGGGTAGGTTTTCTCCAAGTACTTCGGTTTCCCCTGCCAACCTTCATTCCACCAATTGCTCCAAAATCACCCTCACCTATCATCTGGAGCTGGTACAATAGGCCAGATGTGGCCGCAGTACAAGGGACTTAATCCCACCCCACTAGTAATAAAAAATACTTACGGAGCTGAGCCCTTCTTGACCAGAAACCAAATTTGCAGGTACTCCAGAATTTCTCAGCATTTTATGGAACTCGAAGGTTCATTACCGTGTTCACAAGAGCCCTCCACTGGTTCCTATCCTGAGCCAGATCAATCCAAACCATACCATTCCATCCTATCTCTCTAAGATCCATTTTAATATGGCCCACCCGCCTAGGCCTTGGTCTTCCCGGTGCATTCCTCTTCTCCCCCATTCGTTCTACATTCCCTGCCCATCTCATTCTCCTTGACATGAAAAGGAATATGAATCAAGATTACAAAAATTGTACATTATTTGGATCTGTCCATATTGTCCAGTTACATGAAGGTAACGTTAGGCTTACTATGAATTTTTCTCATTAATTGGCTTTCGTTTCCATCCTCACAACGTTAGAGCGCGTTCTATAGTAAAGCATTTGTTAGTCAGTTATGGTTAATATATTTGTACTGTATATTGATAAATAAGTAAAAGTCAATAAATGAGTGATATTTCGGAGTTTAGGTACGTCATACTCTTAAATAAATTACATATTGGAGGTGTTCATTAATGCCTGAATAATTTAAAAAGTTTGGCCACATGGATACTTGATTATGTCAGTGGTTGGAAAATTGTAACATCCCTTGACATTCTGGTTGTCGCTTTTGTGCTGAGTGTCATTATTTAATGCAATTTGGTTTGGCATTTAAGACCCATGAAACTGTAACTGGGTTAAATAGAGGAACGCACTGAACGCGGACGCTAAATTTATTTGGTATTAAATAAAAAAACAACGTCCAGCATATTAACAGGAACAAAAATAATAAAACAAACCAAATATAGAAATAAATAAAATATTATGAAAATATCAGAAATTTATGGAAAAAAGAAACCCCAGGAAAATTTTCAAATGTCTGTTGGGATCCAGGCTATACTGACCGAAGTTTTTCATGGTTCTTCGCAGTTCTTTTAGCCAAATGAAGGTGTAATAATTCCATTAAATAAATGACTGCTTCTTTAGAAATGAGTTTCGAATCATCATTCACCTGTCATTCTACCATCTGACACTGTAAAATAGAGTCACTGACACCGATGTAAAATGGCCCATTCTACCAGGAAAATGCACTGAATGGATTCTTAAATATTAAAATGGATCTTAGAGAGATGGGATGGTATGAACTGGATTGATCTGGCTCAGGATAGGTACCAGTGGAGGGCTCTTGTGAACACGGTAGTGAACCTTCGGGTTCCGTAAAATGCTGGGAAGTTCTTGAGTAGCTGCAGAATTGGCGGCTTCTCAAAAAGAATCAACTCCATTAAGTCGGTTAGTTATTTAGAATTTTTCCCCCCCCCCTTCGCACTACAGCCCCAGTGGGCCTACGCCTACCTCCATGAACTTCTCCGTTGACTTCGGTTTTTCTAGATCTTACACATAATGTAGGACTCCTTGGGCGGGTGATCAGCTCGTCGCAAGGCCTCTACCCGTACACAAACACAGAAAAACGCACACACACTAGCTAAACATCCATGCCCTAAGTGGGATTCGAACCCACGATCCCGGTTTCGAAGCGAGCGAAGACAGTACATGCCTTAGACCGCTCGGCTACAGCGACCGGTTATTTAGTATTTAGGGAGATATTTTTTTTAATTTATTTAGTGGGGGGGTGGAGTCCAGCTGGGTCCACTAGGCACGGCGGCAACTGATTGGCCTATTGTACCTGCCCCTGATTATGATGATGGAGAATTTGGTGGAATGAAGATGGGCAAGAGAAACCGAAGTACTCGGAGAAAACCTGCCCCAGCGCCACTTTGTCCACCACAAATCCCACTTAACCAGACCCCGGGATCGAACCCCGGCCGCCGCAGTGGAAAGCCAGCGGCTAACTGTTTGAGCTATGGCGCGGCCTAGGGAGATAAGAATCACCAAATGCTTTATGTTGGTCCAGTAATTATCTTGAAACCATACAATGAGTAGGCCCTACAGCTGCTTTATAGGGCTAAAGAGTTGAGGAATAATTATGTGTAACGTGGAGTTCTGTGTGAGTGTCCTGAAGGAGTGTACAGTGTTAGTGCAAGTGAAAATTGTGGTACATTGAGCGTGTGCTAAATTCAGTGGTCAGTGAAACTGCAAGTGGAATCTGTCCTCGGGTGCGAGCGAGCTGCAGTCTACCGGAGTCAAAGGTAAGATCACATCATATAATTTTAGTTTTAGCACCCAGAAAGAAGTGACAGTAAATGAAAACTTCGGGTACTGCTGCATAACTATCTTTTCGGCTGATTTTTGATAATTTTGTCTGTGGTTCTGTATGGATCCGAAACTTGGATTCTAACATTAGGAGAAGTACTTAGAGTGTTTGAGGACAGTGTGCTTAGGAGAATATTTAGGCAGACGAATGATGAAGTGACAGGAGGTTGGAGAAAACTGCATAATGAGGAGCTCCATAACTTGTATTCTTCTCCAAGTATAAATGGAACGATGAAGTCAAGGAGGATGGGATGGGATGGGCAGGGCATGTAGCACGCATCAAGGGGAAGTGGAATACTTGTAGGATTTTGGTGGGCAAGTCAGAAGGAGAGGGATCACAAGGAACCCCTGACCGTAGATTGGAGAATAATATTAAAATGGACCTTACAGATATAGGATGGGATTATACGGACTGAATTGAAGTTGTTCAAGATAGGGACCAGTAGAGAGCCCTTGTGAACACGGTAATAAATTTTGGGGAATTAGGAAATTTCTGGAATAGATGAACGACTAGCGGATTTTCAAGAAAGACCCAGCTCCACTGACTTAGTTTATTATACCATTTTTTTCAAACCACGTTTCGGAGAATGGTTTTGTTTCTTGGGTCAGGTGATAGGATAAAGAAAAGAATTGTTCTCCGTTATGCCCCTTGATAGAGCTAATTCAAGGCTGTAGACTAGCTCTGCCAACAGAGTGTGCAATTAGCTTGTTATCCTACCACCAGATTATGGGGCACGCGGTAGCGTATTTGTCTGACGCACTATGCTACAAATCGGAAGGTCACGGGTTCGAGTGACGATGAGGTCATCGGATTTTTCCAAATGACCTAATCCTTCCAGCCACACTACGGCCCTGGGGTCGACTCAACCTCTTAACAGAAATGAGTACCAGGAATCTTTCTGGGTGGTAAAGGGCGGCCGGTGCATAAGGCTGACAACCTTACCGCCTTCTGTGAGCCGACTGTCTAGAGAAAATATGGGAGCCTCGACGTCTCACAACCCTATCGGCCTTCACGGCCTGTTACAGGGATAGATGTACCTTAACTTTTACGACAAGAAGATGGGAGAAAAATCAGTTTCTGAGACTTTGTGGCTTCTGAAACCTGCGGCTGTGAACAGTGTACAAGATGTCAGTCAGTAAGGCAGTCACTTAAATATATATAACTAATTTCAACATTTAGTATAATTATGAATTTGTTCTCATGACTTAGTCTACATGCTATCTAGACAGACAGACATGCGCACTAGCACACATATTATTTTCTGTCCTTAACAGTGCGCATGTCCTACTTTTTTCTGATCACGTCAATGGCGCGGACATTGCAGAAATTTCCTTTACTGTTTAAAAGGTTTCGGTGACTTACAGGATGAGCTGCTTAGTTTCGGAAGGTGTCTGCTCGTAATGACGTCTCCTGACAGCTATGACGTTTTTATCGCTGTCTTTTAAGACAAATACCACGTACAAAATATACTTTTACGGCCCATTTGTTTTCTCTTCCAAGTCACTAAAGAAAGTAGAACAGAAAGATAAAGGAAGAATAAGAAATAGTTACAGATAATATAAAAGTCGTATGAAAGTTCATGGCGTTTACTGGAGAGCTCAAATATTTCCATCTTCAGAAATAAGTCTTGAGAAAGAAAGCGTATCTTTTTGGATTGGTGCATTTCTGGACAAGACGACTATCAGCGTGGCAGAAAGAAACAAATTCAATTCGTCTGATTCTTCCACTTCCCTCTGCGTGTTCATCACGTTATTATCTTCCTCTCTGTGTGCCTCTACTTCATATATGTCGTTACATTTGCACAACCTTTCCCTTCGCGGCCGTGTTCTTCCTCGTTCTGGCCCAGAAATATGAGGATTTATGTATTGACAGATTTGTTAAAAATTCCACTCCCCCCCTTTTTGAAAATAGATAAAATAGATGTATTTTTTTATTGCTAGTGGGGTGGAACTAAGTCCCTTGTACTACGGCCACTTCTAGCCTATTGTACCAGCACCAGATGATAGGTGAGGGTGATTGTGGAGCAATTGTTGGAATGAAGATTGGCAGGGGAAACCGAAGTACTTGGAAGAAACCTGCCCCAGCGCCACTTTTTCCACCACAAATCCCACTTGACCAGACCCGGGATCGAACCCGGGCCGCCGCGGTGGGAAGCCAGCGACTAACCGCTTGAGCTATTGCGCGGCCTAAAATAAATGTAACGAAACCTTATCATCAGTTTCATTCATGAAGTGTTTGGTTAAAGGGGAATGATATGATATCATTTATGTGAACATATCAATTAACAATTAAAAATTCGGAGGCACGCGGTAGCGTAGTTGGTTGAGGCACTATGCTATAAGACGGAAAGTCGTGGGTTCCAGTCCCGATGAGGTGACTTTTTTCAATTTACCTAACCCTTCCACTATGGCCCTGGGGTCGACTCAGCCTCTAATAAAAATGAATGCCAGGGCGGCCGGCGCTTAAGGCTGACAACCTTACCACCATCTATGAGCAGACTGTCTAGAAAACGTGGGAACCTCGACATCTAACAACCCCGTGGGCCTCCACAGCCTGTTACAGGTATAGCTTTACCTTTTTCACCTTTTAGTTAACAATTCGAGTTGGTAACATAGCAGTACTTTCATCGTCACATAAAACATCACACAATGTCTTTATATCCTCTACAATCATTTTCCCATCTCATTAGACCCAAAATACCTTCTACAATATAACCGAAGCATTTCGTGGTTTTCTTCAGTTCCTCCGGTAAATTTGAACAGAGTTCTACTGCTTCTTTGCGCATCCATCCGATTCGTCTTTCAGATTGTCATGTCATTCAACGATACATCGTCGTTAAATAATCAAACCACCATGTTCTTTATTGCTGTCACCAAACAGCTGAGACTTCAGCCAGTAACATGCTTGAAGTTTAGCTCTGGTTAGTATTTACGTGTATGCCCTCTGTGTTATGTCACCGTACAGGGTACTCCGAAAGGCCGCCCCATAGCTCAAGCGGTTAGTTGCCGGCCTGGGTCAGGTCATGTGGGATTTGTGGTGAAGAAAGTGGCACTGAGGCAAGTTTTCCTCGAGTACTTCGGTTTCCCCTGCCAATCCTCATTCCACCATCACCTGTCATCGGGGCAGGTACAATAGGCGAATTAGTGGCCGACATACTGAGTGGACTCAATCTTACCCCCTCCTCCCAAGAAAATAAAAAAAAGCAAAAGGTTACTCTGGACAGAGCTGGAGATTGTGAGGTAGTTGTGAATAGACGCCATGTATTTCTTTCCAGTTCGCTCCAACTACTGACATTTCCAGTGCCATAAGGCGTCAGAACTGTCGTTTCCAAGTAGCGTAAATGTGGGAACGTTTTCATAGCATACATCGGAACAGCCATTTTTCCGGGTATTTCTACTGATCTGTAGAGCCATTTCCACCCCTGGTCCCTGGTATAAAGCAAGAAGACTTTGTTTTATCATACTGATTGCTTGTAACATGAGCTGTTGGTTTAGTCTATATTTTGTGGCGTTTCCTGTAACAGAGCTTCCATATTTTTCTGCATTAATGTATAAGACACCACATCACACATTTCCCCCGCGATGCGGCTTCAGTTGTTTTGTAACTCCATCCCCCGTTGTCATATTCCTCCCCCTTACCCGCCTTCGCACCCCGGTGCACATGTGGTCTCTCTTCCTCACTCATCCCCCTGCAAGAACTTGACAGCTGCCAAAATATAAACAAACTCCGCTAGCAAAAGTTTTAACTGTTTCTCTCCTGAGATTTGATCAAGAATGTTTCTGAAAGGGATGGAGACGGTCTCTGTCATGCTTAACCAGGCTTCTTGCAAACACACATATACACCTCGTCTCAGACCCCAGCTTAGCAGCCGCCCTATCCCTGCATACATCTGCACCCCGGATAATAAACTTAGAGAAACTTTGTTCACTCAGACACACGCACCCCCTCTGCCCTCCCCATGCACACTGAACTATCTCGGGGTTTTACCGCTTTATACCATCTCTCTTCTTTAGAGAGTATTCATCTTCACCCCTCACTCGTCTTCCGCGCCTCAACCATTCGTTCTAACGTTTGCATATTAAGCAAGGATCCTAGTGAAGGCAATTTCCAAAACTGAAGTACAGTGTGCATTTCCCTAGTTAATATTTGAATAATTTAGTATTTTGTAATAATGTATAACTTGAGAAGATAAACTTGTTTTCTACAATGAACCTAGTTCGTAAAGTATGTTACGACTGTCAGTCATGTAATATTTAGCTTTCGGAGTTAAGACAGACGCTTGTCATTGGGAATCAGTTATTCAGGAAGCAAATTGAATCAAGTCCACAACGTAATGTGTTTTGAAGAGTAGAGAAATGAGGCTTTCACAGAGAGCTGCTATATGTCGGAAATGTTACAGTAGAATTATAGATTAATAATATTCAATTGAGCCGGTCACGGTAGCCGAGCGGTCTAAGGCGTGCACTGTCTTCACTCGCTCGGTGGGAAGCCGGGATCGTGGGTTCCAATCCCACTCAGGGCATGGATGTTTAGTTTGTGTGTGTGCATTTTTCTGTGTTTGTGTACAGGTAGAGTATCATATTTAAGCATCCTGCTGCGCTCTCTACGATAAATGATATGAACTCCGTCACAAGTACAAACAATGTATTATATGTCCTTGATCTTGTTCTCCTTTACACTACATGTTTCGGCCTCAAACGGCCATCATCAGGTGTATACACTCACGTTGCTGTTACACTTCACTTAGTTTAAAATTTAACATTTAAAAACACATTGTTCCTTTCGTTGTTACTATCAACATCAACTTCGTTGATATCTGTCTGGTTTATAGATAGTTTTTGTTACACACGTTAGCACTTATAAAATCTTTAGTTCTAATTTTAAAATCCTTTAAAATTTTTTTCTCTAAAATTTAAAATTTAAAATTGTCAGGGT